TCGCCGATAGACAGGTACACTCCGAGGTATATACTTTTTTATTCAAATATACGAGGATGATATTTTCAATTTTATTTGGTATGCATTTGTAGCAACAGCATGATAACATTTATTTGTTTTTATTTGCGTTTTATATTCATATTGATAATTCACGTTTTGTCTTGGATAATAAAGCACGGTTATGCATAATAAATTGTATGCATAATAAATATTCACTATCACTGTATGAGGTAAGAATCAACAGCTTTTTATCACATTTACACAACACTTTATGAATACAAGTCATGAACAAATCTTAAATATGGCAGGGGATGTGTTTACTTTTTTTGTTTTGATTTTGAGCAGCAAATTTTGAGTTACATATTTTTGCTCACCAGGAATGCATAGGCAAAATTGCACAAATTTTCACTTGAAAGAATAGTGGCGATCTTGGGATTTTTTTCTGTTCAATTTTCAAACTGTGTAAATTTAATACACTTCATCTTCAGCATGTTTAGTGCCACTTTTGTAAGTAACCACGCCCCCGCCCAGGCCACGCCCCTTCCGCTTTTTTCATCACTCGCCATTGCCATGTATGAATGTACGCTACTCACAGAAAAGTTAGGGATATTTGGCTTGTGGCAGGTGAAATTTATGGAAAATGTAAAAAGCTCATGCAACAGTGATGATATGAGAATAGGACATTTAAGTAGAAGGATGCACTGGTGAGTTCCTCATCTCAAACAATTCATTGAAACAAAAGTTTACAATGGTGGATACACCGCAACAAAAAACTTCCAACATCTCAATAACTCGTCATGTGCCCTTGAGCATCAATTACAGCTTGACAACAATGTCTCATGCTGTTCACAAATCGACTTATTGTCTGCTGAGGCATGGCATCCCACTCTTCTTGAAGGGCAGCTCTCAGCTCAGTGAAGTTCAGGGGTGCAGAGGTTCAGGGGTCTACACGGAGACTCCGCTGATCCCGCAGGTTTTCAATAGGATGCAGGTTTGGGAAAAGTGCAGGCCGTTCCATTTGAGAAGCTTTCACATCGAGTTCACCTGCAAAGGGTTGAATGCGTTTCAGGCTGGTCCTTAAATTTCACCCAAAAGTCAAACATCCCTAACCTTTTTTGAGTTTGTGTGTGTGTGTGTAACGTTTCAGAATTTTTTGTATTGAGACATTTATTTAGGTATTGATTGTTTGTGTATTGTACTTTTAATACAATAATTATTTAAATACAGATTTTAATTTTGAAATATTTAATGAGTTTTCCTCAATTCTCAAACTGTGCATAATGTTACAGTGGCTAACAAATAAAGACCTCTCCCTCGTTTTTGGTTTACTCGTGGTCCTACTATACTGCTGCATTGCAATGTTGGTCATAACTTTGATAGCCAAGTCGTTTTAAGGTGGTACTTGGTGTAAACGGTTTGGACCCACTGCTTGAAACCAATGATTACCAACCAGTGTGCAGTGGTAAATGGTCCGGCTTAGTGCATTTTCATACGCGGGGAAGTATTTGATGGATGGTATGCATTTGTGGGCAGAATATGTGAAATGGGATCAAAATGTCATTCTCCAGGGTCCACAGTCTCAAAAACATTACACAAACAAGAAGAATAACACAATCATAAGCACCATCTCCTTTCTTATTTGCATGCAGCTATAAATGGAGGTTAGAACCCTCCTTTCACCGCTGAAGATGTCAAGCACGCATGACATCCCGCATTTGGCATACATGCTAAGTTGAAAGTAGTCAAGTAGATCAGGACTATTAAATGCTCTTCCACTAGATGGCAGGAGGTACATCATTAACCCATGTAACCTTTGTTTTGGTGATGTGCCTTGTCTCAAAAAAGGTGGGGAAACGCTTCTCCGAAAGGTCCAGAATAGTCCATGTTACAATATGGCTGCAGAATTGTGGTCCGAAATGATTGTGATGGCAAACAAGCCAGCATATTTTTACTAATGCTCATTAGTTTCGCAAACCCACCATTTAAATACTAAAATCAGACACGGTCTCATGGCTCCTTTTTCAGTTTTGATCAGAGCTGGAAATTAAGCAATGCAAATCTGTCATTTTTAGTTTTTTGCCCCCTCATCACTGTTCTGATTCTCAATCATCAATTGAAAATGCAAGTAACAAATGGAAAAATGGATTGTGTATGGATCCTTGCCAATTCGTAAACTTGCAATTAGTGGTCATGATGACTATGTGTATATATCTGTATTCTCTCTTGTACATGTAGCTACTCTGGGGGTGGAGGTGCACCCGCTGACTTTTCACACCAATAGAGGCGCCATCAGGTTTAATGTGTGGGACACAGCTGGACAAGAGAAGTTTGGAGGCCTGAGAGATGGCTACTACATTCAAGGTGACTGTCATACTTCACATGGCATTAAAATGAATTAAAAACAAAAATAGACTTGCTTTCAAGCAAACCTAAACGGTTCTCTCCCACAGCCCAGTGTGCAATCATCATGTTTGACGTCACTTCACGAGTCACCTACAAGAACGTGCCCAATTGGCATCGTGACCTGGTGCGTGTCTGTGAAAACATTCCCATTGTGCTCTGTGGCAACAAGGTTGACATCAAAGATAGGAAAGTCAAAGCCAAAAGTATTGTCTTTCACCGCAAGAAGAACCTGCAGGTAATATTCTCAAACATCTTCACGTCATACGTAAGCCATGTGGATCCTGAATTACATATATTTGACGACTATCTTCACAGTACTATGACATTTCTGCGAAGAGTAACTACAACTTTGAGAAGCCTTTCCTTTGGCTCGCAAAAAAATTAGCCGGAGATCCCAACATGGAGTTTGTGGCAATGCCCGCTCTCGCTCCCCCAGAAGTTGCAATGGACCCAGCCATGGCTGCCAAGTACGAGGAGGAGCTTCAAGTAAGTTGAATATGGATGATTTCTACTATAAACCTCAGAAGATCGTTCATCTAATTGTTGTTTGTTCAGGTTGCATCAAGAACAGCGCTCCCAGATGAAGATGATGACCTCTAACATGTTCCAGAGTCTCCTGGTCTCCTCTCCCTCCCCTCTGTGGAAGTCAAGTTGTTGGAATTTTGCCCCCATAACTGTAAAAACCCTTAAGATTTTTTTTAATTTTTTTTTCTTTGCTTTGTTTTAAAACTCAGTTTGGAAAAGAAAATCCTGGTGGGAATAAGTTGCTGTTCAATTTCACTGTATAGACACCAACCACCTTAGTGTTATTAGCATGACAACATGCTTCTCTTCGTTGGGCACCATCCACTGCACTTAGATAGCTTGCAATGCTGTTGTACGGTGTGTTGGAGGCACTAAGGGAGGAAAGTTTGAATAAAGATGTTCTCAAGACATGCTCAGATTTTTTTTGGTTTGTTTGGCCGTTATTGACACTGTAGGGTTTCGATGGTTTGAAGAAGCCCAGGATTGCCACAGATGAATTTTGTTAAAATAATTTCAATCCACACTGTGGTAAATTAAGGCAGAAGAATGAAGGGTTTCTCTGTTAACACCAGCCTGGCTCTTGCCTTTTTGCCTTCCCTCTGCTGCAAAAAAAAATCAGTAGTATACCGTAAAGTGTGTTTATTCGCAAGACCACCAGGGGTCAGTGACGTTTAGAGTCCAGCTGTCTACAATATTTCTTGTTTTTGTTACGTAATAGTCTTGTCCCCACTGACACCAAGATACTGCAACCCTGATCAGGATTTACGAATGCAATTTGCATGACCGCCCAAAGTACATTGAGCTATGTTATATAGTCTTTATGGGCTGTCGAATATTACTTTGCATCACGCATCAGCAGCTGCACACATCTTTTACTGTAGTCCAGGGGTCCCCAACCTTTTTTGCCCCACGGACCGGTTTAAGTCAGACATTATTTTCAGGGACCGGCATTTAAGGTGTGGCGGAATTAATACAACAAAATAATATGGTATGAGCTGCATGAAAACTGCCGCCCAAAGTACATTGAGCTATGTTATATAGTCTTTATGGGCTGTCGAATATTACTTTGCATCACGCATCAGCAGCTGCACACATCTTTTACTGTAGTCTGTCAAAATGATCCAAAAATGCATTTAATCGATCTAACAATTTGAAGCCAGTTGTGTTGCCCAGTCAACATTTTTGAATTTTCATTTATTCTCTGGATACCAAAGATTGATTAAACCTTTAGATAATTTGGTGGAACTGAAACATTTTTTGCCTATCGTTTTTTTAATGAATATGTGTCATACCGGGAGCGCATTAGAATGTCCTTCATCCCACGACACCTAAATGCACCGGCGGCGCAGGTGGCTGTGGGCGTGGCTTCATCCTTGTGCTTTGGCATTTGTCTGCGCATGCCCGAATGTGAAAAGTGCGTTGAGAATGATTACCGGCGGAGGCCAGCGGAGAGACAGATTATACGACTCCACGCAACTGTTGTTTTAATCCCCTGAGCGAGGAGATTTGCACAGGAGAAAACACTGGCTTCGAACCCAGCAGCCATATTGTATGGAAAAACGAAGAGAGGACTCTGGTTTTCAGAAACATAAAATTTAAGTCTTTGGTCCAACAACCCTGACAAGACTTTTGACTTTAAATTCTTCAAGGCCACTGGCGGTGGGTTTCATGTCGGACAGCTAGCTTCGACAGCTGTCTGAGGAGGAGAGAGACCGAGGCGAGCGTTCTCAAATTATTTGAGCCCAATTATTTGTGTTCGAGGCGTTTATTGAACACGCTGAAATATGAAGGACCGATTGGAGCAACTAAGAGCGGTAAGTCCTAAGAATGCAACGTTTTACTTCTACTTATCTCCTTTATCACTATAACTACACATCACTTCTGACCGACGTTATTTAAATGATCATCACTTGGGGTTCCGAACATGTTTTAAATATTAAACGAGCCTTCGGGTAACACTTAGATTTAGAAACTAACGGCTGCGGTGGTTTAAAATGCTCTATAGTGCCATGTGTCAAGCAGACACGATACAATTCAAATATAGTACTGATTCGAATTGCTGTCATCAATTTGCATGTTACGTGATCTATATGGTATATCCCTTAATCTTCTTTTGTGGTCGTGATATCTGATTACCTCATGTCTGTAGTGAGTAATCAAATTAAATAAATTTAGTTGGTTAACAACTGGCCATATATTTAATGCTTTACAGCCATTTGGGCTCTTAGAATCAATTAAGGCGGTCACTTGGTATGCTCCTTCCGGGTAGTGACTTAATTTCAAGTCAGGAAGCAGAGACCGAGTATTATGACAGCACCTGCTAAGTGAGAATGCTAAATATATGGTTACACAACCAAAGGTGGATTGAATACAGATCCATATCGCCTTTCTTGAGCATTCACATTACTGAAACTATCATTGACAGAATCATATGAGACAATATAACATGGGGTGAGGCCAAACGCTATTGTGTCATGAACCAATTCGGGATGTGTTACCATAGCTGCATCCAAGTCCTGGCCAAATATTTGTTGTGTTTGAAGTTGTTCAACTGTGGTATCACCCCAGGCTTCTGTGTCTCCCACAGCTGGCCTGTTTTTCAGGGAAATGAAGAACAAATAGCAGCTGAGGCATGTTGGGAAGTTAATAGGTTTGACCCTACTGGAGCACATATGTATCTCTATTCTCTTTTACCAACCCCTGAACTCAGCTCATGGTTTTATTACCAGTGCAATGTTCCGTATCTTAATATATTTACTTTCTGGCTGTGTATCTCTCATGTGATAAGCATTCTGAGGTCACCTGACATTTACCTGTTATGTCTTTTGTATCTTTTCCACGACTTGCCCATAAAGCTTTTCCAGTCTTCAAACCATGTACAACTACCTGGTTCAAGCGATAGCAGTGACATAAAACTACTTGTCACTCATTGGTAGAGCATGTTTGTCATCATTGTTGCAATGCTTCTTAGCAAAATGTTCATGGAAAGGCATGCAAGACATTGGAGATGTAACATCCTGCATATAAAGTGGATGCCAATTATTCGAGGGGCAGGATTGAGACATTACTAAGTTTAAGTTTGTAATTATAATTGCCTATTTTAATAGTTTAAACCATAGACATATGATAAAGTGGGGCGGTTCAGTGGATAGCACGTCGACCTCACAGTGCAGAGGTACCGGGTTCAATTCCAGCTCCGGCCTCCCTGTGTGGAGTTTGCATGTTCTCCCCAGGCCTGCGTGGGTTTTCTCCGGGTACTCCGGTTTCCTCCCACATTCCGAGAACATGCATGGTAGGCTGATTGAGCACTCGAAATTGTCCCTAGGTGTGAGTGTGAGCTCGCATGGTTGTTGGTCTCTGTGTGCCCTGCGATGGGCTGGCAACCGGTTCAGGGTGTCCCCCGCCTACTGCTCGAAGACAGCTGGGATAGATTCCAGCACCCCCCACGACCCTTGTGAGGATAAGCGGATTGGAAAACGGAAATATGATAAAGTGTGATCCTAAAACACATCACCACCATTTCAGATGCTTATAAACACCTTTAAACGTTGCTTTACCTTAAAAAATAAAAATTACCTAAATACCTAATAACTATTATAAAGAGCTTAGAGCTAAGAATGGAGATACAAGATGTTCAGTATTAATCCATACATGTCAACAATTCTGATGACAGTAATGAAGAAGAATTGCTGTAATGGTGCAGTGCGGTGTAAAACAATGAATATTGGGCTGCACAATGAAGGGCAGGAGTTAGACAAATGGCATTCTGTGCTGGTATGAAAGTTCACCGCTTCTTTGCCTGCTTGGCCAACGTAGTAGTGAGAGCATCGCTGGTGACTGACCTGAAACTGCTGGATTCATTGAGTGGATAAGTAGTTTGATGTTTTTGGGGAATGGTAATGGTTGACAGTAACTATTCATTTTCTCAATTAAAGCGATGCAGCAATACAATAAATATTATACATACAGTAAAAACTATTATGAAATTGCCACGGGAAAGAAATATACAAATATGACTTGGAGATGAGTGCTTGTGTCGTGTTTCTCTCTGCTGTTGAATTTGTAATTGGATTTGACCATGGAAGAAAAAAATGCAAATCGGTCAAATGGCTAATGCTAAACTGCGTGTGTGTGTGTGTGTGTGTGTGTGTGTGTGTGTGTGTGTGTGTGTGTGTGTGTGTGTGTGTGTGTGTGTGTGTCTCTCTCTCTCTCTCTCTCTCTCTCTCTCTCTCTCTCTCTCTCTCTCTCTCTCTCTCTCTCTCTC